AAACACCAAAGGGATCACAAGCCCTTTATCTATGGTTCTTATGTGCATGACCACCCCTTTTCTTTACCTTCTCGATTTTACGACTTGAATATTTCGTATGGTGTTGTTTGCTTTGTTCATAATAAAATCATAATAAAATTTTTTCCCGGAAACCCAATCATTTCGACAGATAATGTAACCCTGCTCCGAGGTCACGCAGCGACAAATGCTTTTCCGCGAAATCAGTCTGCAGATCATTGCACGTGATATTGAAACTGAGCAATAACCTAAAAAATCATTTGCCTGATATAACAATAATGTCTAACGAAGAAGTCCCTACTGACGAGGAATTGCCCAGTGAAAAAGCATTCTTTAAGGTCGATGAGAAAGTGAAAGAAATACACAGCATCTTGAAGTGGGAAGTGCAGCGACTCCGCCAAGAGAAAGAAGCGTTCGATTCAGTCGCCAAGAAATTAGAACACGTTCACTTCTCGGACACCATTAAACTCAATGTTGGCGGACAATTCTGCACCACAAGTCTTCAAACACTGACCAAAGATGCTGGATCCATGCTTCATGCCATGTTTTCTGGTCGTTTTGATACCAAACCAGCAGAAGACGGCAGCTACTTCATCGACCGAGATGGCACGTACTTCCGCTACATCCTGAATTACTTGAGAAATGGTAAACTTCTGCTACCGGATGACAAGTTGGTTGAGAAAGAAGTCTTGGAAGAAGCAAAATTCTACCAAATACAGGGTATCGTAAACGAACTCACTGCTAAACCTAGCGGCCCTCCTCCTCTCCAACTGAGCAAGCTCTATGATTATTCAAGGATTCTTTCGACAGCGCAGCGTATTTATTTGTCCGCAATCCATGGAGAAGACCAGAAATTCAAGAAGTGCACTCTCCTGTACCGTGGTTCTAGGGATGGATGGGCCTCTTCAATATTTCATTCCAAGTGCGATTCATTCAGTGGACCAACAATGGTGGTGATCAAAAGCACATGGGGGTACATCTTTGGTGGATACACAGAGCAGTCATGGGCAGGTAAAAACTATTAACCTTGCTATTTCATTCATTTTTATCATAATATTCTATATGTAGTAAAGTCAATTTAACTGGAATCCTAAATATAGATTCAGTAGCATAAGAAAACTGTCCAGTACTTCCCACTTCCGCCTTAGTGATCGACATATATAAATAACCAACTTGCGAGTTTTGACCTCGATGTCACACAATGGAATCAACAAGCTCGGTCATTCTTAAAATGACAATAGTTTTTCACGAGTAACTGGACTTTATACACGACGGACTTGGACTACTAACGCCAAATTTGCAGGTCGGCTATTAGTTTCACACGATGCAACGTTCTCCATACAGAAGTAACTTGATTAAGGGTATTGTGCTTTTGCCATCGAGTTTTGAGTTTGACAATATAAGCTTAATTTATTTAATTGGTAGCTCACTATTCGGCTTATTCACTTTCATTCGATTAGGTAGTGGCAACTATAAAGCTGACAACACCGCATTTTTGTTCAGCCTGGTGAATTATTCAGGGATAACGCCAATAGTACAGATGAAACCCTTCCAGAATCACGGCAACGCGATTTACTGCAATAACGGCTATGGACCAACATTTGGTGGCAACTATGACCTATATATCTGCGACAATCCACAATCCAATAATTGCTCTTCGAATATCGGTGATACTTACAAGCTACCCTCTGGCCAGACAGCTAATACTTTCTTAACAGGTGGACAATATTTTAAGCTTTCAGAAATGGAAGTATATGGTCTTCAAAATTAGAATTACAAATAACCACTAGTATGAGATGAGTATCCAATGATTTAGAATGTGATAAATCCAGACTTTCCGTCGTACAAGACGAAAATGTAGTCCGGCTAATACTTATCCGCAATTATAAAAACCATAGCGGATACATCGTTATTCTCGAATCATGTTTCAGTTTTCTAATTTAAATCATAATGATCGTTGATTGTAGTATAGAGTAAAATTGAATAATCATAATAAATGACAGGTTGGCATGTTTTAGTCCCGATATGTGTGTGTGTGTGTGTGTGGTGTGCAGTAGATTCAACGCATTTTATTCTAGCCTTTTATTCTTTGATATCTTTTCTTTCAATGCTCAATTCTATTATTTAGTAGG